ACTACTACTACTACTACTACTACTACTACTACTACTACTACTACTACGCTGCTACTACTACTACTACTACTACTACTTCGATCTACTACTATACCTACTATACCATACTATACCTACTAACTACTAATACCAAAATGTTTGGCCCCATCCGTCTACTACACTAAGACTACTATTTGGATAGCCCGGGGATGCTTGAAATTGGTTTGTGTTCTGGAAAAGAGCCCACTTGTGTGGCCCTTCTTGGAGAAGCTAACTTCGTTTTTATGTCACATCAATGCTTTGACAAGCATTGCAGCCTAACAAGACAGACACATGACATATGCACTAATCAACAGCATGGACATTTTTCTGCACAAATCCTCGACTGAACACCCCTGAATGAATGTTCCCAAGCCAAGTGCGAAAGTCCAACATCAGCCCCTGCGAAGGGGCTGCGGATCCCTCAAGGCCACTACTCTCCAGCCTGGTCAGCGCGCCCTGACCACTGTTGCGCCCGGGTTGCCCAGATAGGAAGTGTAGGGGTGAGATCCAATGAATCCATATGAGTCCTGTGATTTGTGGAGACCGTGGTGTGGCGTCGACTCGACTCGTGGTGTGGCCAAGATCGTGGCTCCCTGAGGTCTTTAGTGGGGAACCCTGGCCGGAAGCTGTCCTTCGGCTTGCTACGGAGGCAAGAAGATGGGCCCGGACGCCTGGAAAGATGATGAAAGATGGATGGCCTCCGAGCAATCAAGGACAGAAAGCATATCATCAGAAGGAACTTGCGAGGAGAGGGCAACAGGATTCCGTAGCCATTTCGGCTGAAGAAGCAAAGACGTGTGATCCAACCTGCAGGAGATCTCATCAAACATGGCGGTCCGTCAAGCGCCTGGTGGAGCATCAACGATTTGCCTTGGAGCAGATGAGGCTGAGTTGAAAGCTATCTCCTCCAATGCATTTGCTTCAAATGCAAGCCAAAACAGTGGCAATGTACTCACAGAGCGCCCAAGTAAGACCATTCTTGCTCCTCCAGGTGGCCGATCAAGCATTTTGCTCGGGAATGATTCTCCATCCTTCAAGCGCAGTGTGCCAGATGTCATTGGCAAGAAGTACACGGAGGAGAGTGATGCAGGGGTCGTCATGGGTGAGAACAATGTGAAGGATGCAGTCTCCGCAGGTGTCATCTTGGGTGAGAGCCATCAGAACGAAACCAAACCTACGGGTGTTATCTTGGGCGAGAACAAGGATGAGACAGCCCCAGCCGGTGTCATGTTGGGCAAAACCCAATTCGAAGAAGCTCTTGACTATGCGAAGGAGGTTGTTCACCAGAAAGCCAAGAATTCCGAGCAGATTCAGGCTTTGCAAGCCATGCCAACACCAGCTCGCCGAGTACCTCCGGGAGGGGTGGCAACAGTGCTGCTTGGCTGAAAGTGAGAGAGGTTGAGCAAGACTCAATCTACGCAATTCATTGCTGCTTTCTAGTACTTAATTCACATGCCAAAGAGAACATCTAGCGTTCTTGGATGTCAAGCGCGCAGGCGATGGAAAAGTTTGAAAGTTTGTTTCCAGTCCCTTTTGGAAGGGATCGGTTTCAGGATGCTTGACGCCTCCATCGCAAGACCATGTTTAATAAGCGAGGTACCTTTTCGATTGGAATAGCTCTGTGTAATACAAACATATCTTGTATATCAATATTAAACATTATTGACGCATATTTGTTTGTATGCCTTGGACACATTGCTTGCATTTTGGCCTTCGTTCTAGAAGCTCTTCAGAAAGCTCTTTTTCAGAGGTCCCAGGGCCGTTGGGTTCTGGAAGACTTGCACAAGGCTGGAGTGCGACGATGCAAACCCGGGTCCGAACCAACACATTGGGTTTGGGAACCGGGTCCGGACCCCTGCGTTTCGGTGTCGGGTCCAACCCCTGTCATGGAGAGCCCAACATGTGGATTATTCCTTAAAGGATCTTAAAGGATCAGGTCCTTTATATAAACGTGGTATCAAACAACGATTCACACCGCGACAATCTCTACGCAGTTCTACGCAGTTCTTTTGGTGGATCTTGAGACCAATCAGCTGGGATGGTCGTTGGTCGTTTGCTTTTCGCCGAGCCCTCAGATCACTCTACGTATAGAGGTATATGACGGTATATGGACCGTTTGCTTCCCGGTTCGGTGAAATCATTTCTACCAGGCGCCTCCTGGTGGCCTTTCTGCAACTAAGAAAACGAGGACTTCCAAGCACACATATGTCCAGGAAGACTGCAAACCTGTACACGAGGATCAAGCACTCAAGCACTGAAAAATAATAAACACCCAGATGACTTACACAATTGCTAACAGACCAGTGACTGACCAGTGTGCCCACACCTTTGATTTGGTCGACCTAGGACGTTTACTGAGCCCCCAGTGTTGTCCACAACTCGCGGTGTGCAATACATGTTGTGAGCCCATCAAGCTACTATAGATGTCAGTCTACTGTCTACGACCTGTTCTGGAGTGCACAGCAATTTGTCTTTGACCGATGCACCGTGCAAACATCAAACTTATCCACAGGCGTGCGAAATGTGTCAGTGTATTTGAGGAGTTCTACGGTGGAAACAAGGCTTTAGAAAGGACACCTGCGCATCCTTGGTGTAGACACACCCTTCTTTTCCATAAAAAAAGAGGGTGGGTGTGCTTGGGAGAGCACACACTAGCTCAAAACCCTTAGAAAACACTGTAAATACCGTGCAAAATTTCAAAAACTGCTCTGAGAACTAGGCGAAACGCAATTTTTTGGATCTGTCTGTGCCCAGTCTCCATGTCCAATGTCAATGACAACAAATAACAGCTCTTCGTCTGCCCACTATCAATGTGCAACACCAATGATAAATATTATCAGGTAAATCTCTCTCTGCCCACAATGAATGTAGCATCATGAGCGAATGAAGATATAATGCTATACATCTCTAGATTCAATAGCTTTCCTCTGGATCTGTGGGAAAGTAGATTTCCTAGATTTGTGTATTTTCATTAAAGGAAAGCATTTGAAAGAAACACTTACATACATACTTATAGCTTTTTTAAAATACCATGACTATTTCCAGAGATCCAGAGGAAAGCTTTTGAAATGAAAGCTCTATATGTTTTCACAGAAGTGATCAGATCTAGAGGGAACCTTTTGAATTAGAAGTTTGTACATAAAGCAGTTTTAATATAGCAATGAATATTCCAAGGGATTACTTTAAACACATACTATCTACTCAAAAACATAGTTTGTGTCTTATTCCCAGCACTCCTAGGGCAAAAAACACTGTAAAATATAGGGTTTTGTAACGTGTGTTCTTAAACTAACTAAACTGGAATTAAAATAGAATTAGGCAAACTCAAATTAGAAGATTTCAATCACGATCCTTTTAACATTGATTGTGGAATTTGCTATTTATTAGATATTAGATTGCAATAAAAATCATTTCCAAGTTCTCTTTAAAACTCATTGTGGAAACTAGTTCTTACAATTAGATTTTAGTCAAAGTCCTTTTCAAAGTTAGTGGTGGCTTTGATTTAATATCAGATTGTGTTTAAAGTCGATTTAAGATCAATTGTGGAAATTGTGATGCTTAACTAACTTGAATTTGTATTTTCACTCCATGTAATATGTACACTTTGTACCATGCACATAGTAGGATGTCATGTAGACCTACCTTTCGCAGCTCGCGGCCCAAAACAGGAGTTGCAGCTTAACGGCTGTTTCTATAGGTTATCAGCCGTAGTGCTCTAACCACAGCCATGGACGCTCTCGCCATTCCTGGAAACGGCACATCATCGGTAGCAGTCCCAGCCGGTCTCATGACTGAGCCCACGGTGGATCTAGATGACCCCATGGGTTCAGCTCCTGTCACAGCTTACTTTCAGTTCGTTCAGCAAAACATCCAACAAGTGTACAATGGAAACGAAGATGCTATTATTGCTGAGGCAGAGAGAAGGCACAAAGAGATAATGGGACAATGGTTGGAAATGGTAAAAACCAAGTTTCGTCAAGCAATCGATGAAGTAGCGAGCAAGCATCATGAGGAACTCAGTTCGGTAAGGCAACAAGCTCAATCTAGCTACAACCAAGTGCAAGGGGAACTAAGTGCCGCAAAAGCACGAATCCTTAAGCTAGAGAGTGAAAGGTCCATTGAAGCTGAAGCCAGAAAAGCAGAACTGGACTCCTTGCGCATTCAGCTCATGCACGATTGTCAGCAAACTGTCACTGCCATCACCAGCGGTGCCGAGCAAGGTGTGGCAACGCTTCGTGCAGAGTTCGATGAGCGGGAAACTCAGCTTCGACGTGAGCTACGCGACGCAGAAAATGAAAACTATAGCCTGCAGCAAATGCTCGATGACCTTAAAGCCAAAATGCATGCTGGACCCGAGCTAGAGTACCATCCAACAAGTGTCATGAACACACCAGTGTCTACTCCTAGGCATGATGACACAAAGAGGAAAAATCCTCTGGAGACCATTGCAGCAGAGGCTACTGCACGTTTGAGTGGGCTGTTCGCACCCAAAGCGCCGACGGCCACCATCATCGGTGATGCCCCACCAGGGGCAGCTGCTCCTATCAAGCCCGTGCTTCCAGTTTACGGAGGCACAGCAGCGGATGGGGGCAAAACACCGACAAATTTGTTCCATAGCCCTGCACCTTCAATTCGCGAACCCCATAAGCCAGCGTCATCAGGTGCTATCACCTCTGAGCAGGTGATTGAATTGGTCAAGTCACTCACTCAGAGAGAGTCAGATGAGAAGCCAAAGGTAAAGGAGGCAGATCATATCAAGTTGAATGACATGCCAACCCCTGAAACCTATCGGCAGTGGAAACATCATGTGAGGGACGAAATCAAGTCATGTTCTGACAAACCAGATGCTGCCTGGGACTGGTTAATGGAGGTTTACAACACTGTTGATGAGAGGAAAGTTCTGGAAGAGCGGTTGTCTAACCCTGGGAAGTTCACAACGTTGGATACCAAGTTGGCAGCTGCACTGACCAGAAGCGCAAAGGGTGATCTAGCAAACCGAATCATCAATTACAAAGAAGAGAAGGCAAAGCTAGGCATCCAGGTTCGAGGAAGGATGATTCTTCTCATGTTCGATGACTATTTCAAGACCTCGGAAGAAGCGGGTAGCCTCTACAGGGTTGAAGATCTCCTCAATGTGGTAAAGGTAGGCGATACTGTAGCGGACTTGAAGCGTTTCATCAACCGCTGGGACGCTACCATCGCTGGTATGCCCGAACCACCGCATGAAAACGTGCTTCGAGACATCCTTTTAAGGCAGATCCGCACTAGCACAATCCTGAGGTACGACATTGATCTCTTCGATCGTGCAAAAGAAGGTGACCATCATCGGTCTTACAAGTTCCTACTGCAAAGCATCAAGGATCTGATAGATCGAGAACGCCTTCGTGAGAATCGATCACGTATCGCGGAGCGAAATCGGCTCAAGCCAGGTGATCGACATGAGAAGAATGCAGCCCCTACTGTTGATCCTCGGCGAAAGCGTTCGCCATCGCGCGGACGATCCACTTCTCGGGAAAAGGGCATTTGTTGGGCCTTTTTGGAGGGAAAGTGTGCAAAAGGGAAAGATTGCAAGTTCAAGCATGAAAAGCCCAAGCGTGACCCTTCCAAGAAGCGCCAACCATCCCGGGAGCGGAATGAGTCGAGGGACAAAAGCACAGATAAGGAAAAGAAGCGGATGACTAAGGAAGAGATGGCGAAGACCCCATGCAGGTACGATCAGCAAGGTACATGCAGAAGAGGAGACAAGTGCTTTTTCAAACATGGAGAAAAGGCAGCACCGGCTCCGAAAACGAAGCCAAGAAAGGATTCCCCAAAGCCAAAGGCAAAAGGAGATACCAAGAAGGCTGCCATTTGCCTGAGCAATCGGTTTGCATGTCTTGCAACTGGTGTGCCCGGACGATCATGTCTTAAGAAGTCCTGTCTTCCTCCAACGAGAAAGAGGTCTAAGTCGTCTGTCCGAAGAACTACATTCGTTATGAAACCTGAAATTCGCACCATCCCTGCTCGCGGGGAACATTGCAAGATGGTCAAGCGTGAGCGCAAGTACAGTGTGCATTTTGCCACGAGCGATCGCGTGCCCAAGAGCGACCCAAAGGCAGCCCACATGGCCAAGGTGAAAGCTAGGCAGTTGGCTGAAGTTGTTCGAAGCTTTGATAGCGCAACAGTGCCTTCATGTCGTTTCCTATGCACCGAATCGTCGCTTACTTGTCGTGAGTGTCGAAGCTTGATCAAGTTGAAAACATGTCCTACTACCATCCCGACAATAGTTGCTGGTCCAGCACCAAGGGAAGGCAGGTTCTCATGGCTCGTCGATTCCGGGAGTGAGCAAGACCTCCTCAGCAGAAAAGTTATGGATGCTGCTGGTGCGGAGAACCCGAGACGGGCTCCTCACACCATCAGTCTGATTACTGCAAATGGGTCGACCGAAGCCAGCGAGGTAGCTGATGTCAAGATGAAGCAGCTGCTGGAGCCTTGCACGCCGTATTTGCTGGATGAATGCCCGGCTGTGCTCTCAGTTGGCATTAAATGCCTTGACCAAGGGTATAGTTTCGTGTGGCCAGCA